TCTGGTTTGACCTTAGTCCTGTTGGGTTTGCACTGCCACAGTGGCACTGGTTCTGCTGGGCACATTGCACTGGCTTTTCTGGGCTTTCTGTTTCTACAGCAGAGATTCTCTGGGACTTTGATTCTGTTCTGCTGGGCTTCTAATGCCCTTGAATTTTTTGCTGTTTTTCCCTCCATTGGAAACAATGGAGGATGGACAAACCTTCTTGGGGGGAGCATAATGAATAACAATGGAAGATGGAGAAACCTTCGTGGGGGGGGGGGGCGTAATGAAGACCCCATACATTCAATCCTCATCAGACTTGGAGAACAGGTAGAGGAAAGTCAGTTGGAGATCCCCTGTGAGTTTGGTGTCTCTAGGTCTTTTCTTGCTGGTGTCCCATTTAAGTACAGACTCTGCTTTGCTTTGAGATCTGACCAGATCAGGTCATTCCACACACATCCTTCTTCCTACTCCCTCCTTATTGGCTCCTAGTTTCTGTCTCCCCCTTCACTCTTACTGGGGGTTGCCTAGCTGCCCCAGATGACAGCCAAGATCTCATGAGTCATGACTGGCTGCTGTTTTGGTTTGCTAGGCAACTATACACAACCCAAACATCATCTAAGATGCTAGGCAATGCTATACAACCCAAACATCATTTCATTTGGTAAGCAGCTCTGTACAACACTGATGATGTCCCATGAATTGGCTCTTCTGTGAAATGTGCTGAAGAATTTAGGGCCCTTACCCAAGAACCACTTGATCCCAAGCATCATTGTCAATTTGCAATTTCTTTTAAAAGTTTTTTGGAGGAGGACCTATCCCCTATTTATATTTTATAATTTAACTTGGTGCTTTGCCCTTTGTGGATTTTTTGATCTGCATGATAGGGGCTATACTTGGGCACTATATACATGACAAGCAGGGACCCATAAAACGTGTGTGGGGGAGAAATCCCATCCTTTCCCCCCACTCCCTTGTTGGACCTCCCACTCATCAGACAGCTCATCTGCCTGCAGCACTGCTGCCTCCACCTGAGTGGCTCATGTGACAGCATGAGTAGTGGGGGTGGCTACCACTGTGCCTGGTGAGCAGTGGCTCCCATTCCTACCAAACTAAACAGTGGAACCACTTCTCTGGCTTAGGCAACAGCCCCCCCCCCTTTTGTTCCCTCAAAAAGGCTGCTGAAATCTTGCAACATAGCTCTGTGAGATCTGGGGGTTTTCAGCGTAATTTTTTTCTCCCCCCCCCTTTTGGATTTCTGTGGAAACCTGGGAGCTGACCAGGTTTGTCCAAACATCCCCCTGCTCTATACCTCCACCCACTGTATAGATTTAATAATCAATATATGAAGGTCAGTTCAATATTAGATACAGGATAGTCAGGGCAAATTCAAATGTTATATTTTGAAATCAAATAGGTGTCTTGACGAAATAAGCTATTAAATACTTTGTTTCCTCCCCTTTTGAGTCTGATCAACTCCAAGTAAAGTTGATGAGATTATTCTAAATCACTCTGAATTGGTGCTCTTTGTTTGTAGCTATATCCCTATATATAAATGTGTACCAGAGTCAGGTGTTCTTCCTCATGCTTTACAAGCCTTATTAAGAGGTGGCCTGGAGCCATACCCGCAGTTCTTTCCATCTAAAGTGAGGGTGTAGAGGGCAGAAAAATGTCAAAGCACAGGAAGAAGTTTATTGCCCTTGTAGATAAAGCAATGGCTGAAGGTGAAAAGATGGCACCAGAAGAACTGATGTTTACTTATAAGGGGACTTTATATCCAGCTACTGTTTGCAGCCCAGAAATCTTCAAAGCCCTTGAACAGTTTGAAGCAAGAAGCAATGATGTGATTCTAGCCGGATACCCTAAATCTGGTAAATAACTTGTTTCCTATGAATGTTTTAAATAATTCTAAACACTAAAAGGTGGGATGGGTCAACTCAGGCAGAACACACGCTTCACAGGGACAGCCCTTCTACGTTAAAGGAGAAAGTATAAGCAATCCATCAGGCTTAATGAGGGCAGAGTTGAGAGTGGGGAAGGACTTCGTGAAATTGTGATTGTGATGGGTCCAGCCTGCATTTGGAATAGCTTGTGTGACAATCATGCAAGGAAGAGAGTGGATGCTAGTCACCATTGCTAGGAATGATCTGATGCAGCAGGTTTTTTTTTTACTTTATGTGCTGTCATTGTCACTGGTTTTAGTCCACCACATTCTCAGTGGTTATCATTGCTGATTCTGTTGTTGAACCCCGCGAGGGCAGAAGGGAAATGAAGACTGGGGGTGGGGGTGTTGCCAAGCAAAAATGGCATGTGAGGCAGCCCGGCACCATGAGTGGACCACCCCATGGTGCTAAAACTCAGCTGTGCCTGGGACTCTTTCAGGCCAGCATAGCTCTAGCGCAGCAGTACCCAGGGCAGCAGAACTATAGGGTCATCCAAGAAGTTACAAAAGATGTGGAGGACTGAGCTCAATTTTTTCTCATATCTGATATATTATGATCAATGTTCCCTCTAAGCTGAGTTATTATGAGCTAGCTCACATTTTTTTAACCTGCGGCTCACAGTTTTTAGTCTTAGCTCAGGAAGGATGGCTCCAGAGCAAACTGATTTATGCAGCAGCCAAATCTCCTGCTCACAACTTTAATGCCGGTAGCTCACAAAGCAGAATTTTTGCTCACAAGACTCCACAGCTTAGAGGGAACATTGATTATGATACAGACCAGAACTCAGAAAAGCATTTTGTTGGCCTGCCGCATTTGAAGACAAACTGTTGTTGTATTGGGAATTAAAGATATGTTTACTGCAAAGGTTTATCTTCTGTTATTTGTACAGGTTATATTCCATCTTTCTTAAATTCAAGGCACTTCTTCTCCCCCTCCCCATCCCAAACACTCTTGCAACTATATTTGACAAGCTGCATATTCATCCAACCTAGTGTACGACTTCTCTCTTTTTTCCTAAATATAAATAATGAAAGTAAATAAGCTCAGTTTAAATATCTAGCATATACAAGAATCCCACATTCTCCCTCGGCCTTTCCTCTTAGGGCTTGGTCTCCATGCTCCAATCATCCCCGTCACTCTCCTTTGCATGTGCTCCATTCTGTCCACATCCTTTTTGAAGTGAGGTCTCCAGAATTACACACAATACTCCAGGTGCGGCCTCACCAATGGGATCATGACACCTTGCAGTTTGGACGTTATGCCTCTGTTGATACACCCCAAGATCACATTAGCCTTTTTTGCTGCTGCATCACACTGGCTGCTCATATTTAACTTACGGTCCACCCGTACCCCAAGATCTTGTTCACACACACTGCTTCCTAGAAATGCATTTCCTATCCAGAATGCATGTTTCTCATTTTTGTTACCCAGATGTACAACTTATCCTTGTTAAGTTGCATCTTGCCCACTTTTTCAGTGTATTCAGATCTTGTTAGATTGTGTCTCTATCTTCTGGAGTGTTTGCTGCTCCTCACAATTTGCCGTTATCTGCAAATTTAATGAGTAGCCCACACCCTCAGCCATATCATTTATAAAAATATTGAAAAAATATTGAAAAGAAGTGTTAGCTGCTGGTAGTACTCATAGGTTTGCTACAAATTGTGATGTTTCATACCAGAGATAATTTGAGTGAATTATTTTAATAGCTTTTTGAGTTATTATTTCAGTGTTTCTTGGCATGCTTGTGCTTGTATTCTTCTAAGGTGTCAGGTGATACACACTGGGACAAAAAAAATCCCAGCTTCAAGTATAATCTAATGGGGTCTGAACTTGCTGAGACTGAGGGGGGAAAGATCTTGGGGTTATAGTGGATAGCTCAGTGAAAATGTCCACCCAGTGTGCCGCAGCAGTGAAAAAGGCAAACTCTGTGTTAGGGATTATTAGGAAAGGGATTGAGAATAAAATGACCAATATTGTAATGCCCCTGTATAGATCTATGATGCAGCCTCATTTGGAATACTGTGTACAGTTCTGGTCCCCGTATCTCAAAAAGGAGCTGGAAAAAGTACAGAGGGCAACTGAGATGATTAAGAGGTTGAAGCACTTTCCCTATGAGGAAAGGCTGAAGAGTCTGAGACTTTTTCTGTATAGATCTATGATGCAGCCTCATTTGGAATACTGTGTACAGTTCTGGTCCCCGTATCTCAAAAAGGAGCTGGAAAAAGTACAGAGGGCAACTGAGATGATTAAGAGGTTGAAGCACTTTCCCTATGAGGAAAGGCTGAAGAGTCTGAGACTTTTAAGTTTAGAGAAGAGATGAGTAATGGGGGATGTGATAGAAGTTAATAAAATTATGCAAGTGGTAGAGTT